CCCCCCCCTTGTGCAACCATGCGGTGAAACCCTTGCATTTGACCAAAGTTTAATCAGTCCGATTCGACCGGCAATGCATGCTTACCCACCCCCACCCCCACCCCCTCACACCCAAGTGCGGCATGAACCTGGCGTTTGACCGCAGCCTCATAGGGCCGGCTATGTACTTCGGGCTGCAGGGGGAGGGGCAGCCCCTGGGGCGCTACGATGACATGTGGGCCGGTTGGTGCAGCAAGGTGGGCAAAACATGGCCATATTGTGGACACCTGGGGCCAGAGGGCGCCGGCAAGCAATTGAGGGTTAGGGGAGGGGGTTGTGTCCATCATCACGACTCACCCACACATTGAACAACAACCGCCGACAACCGCCAGGTGGTCTGCGACCACCTGGGTCTGGGCGTGAAGACGGGCCTGCCCTACATATTCCACAGCAAGGCCTCAAACCCCTTCACAAACCTGAGGAAAGAGTACAAGGGCATCTTTTGGCAGGTGAACGGGCATCTCGATGGCTCTGTTTGATCAAACTCACCACTGTACTACCGGGATTATGTACTATATTATTACTATACCAGTACACACTTGATTACACAGCTGGTGAAAAGTTGGTTGATGAGTGTGGACAAGTGTGCCCTGCCCAGACCAATATTTGCAACCCTGCAACTCGCGCTTTGGCTCGTCCTGTGACAAGGCCGTATCCGTTTGAGCACGTTCGTGCGCAACCCCCATTGCTGACGTGGCAGGAGGAGATCGTCCCTTTCATCCAGAGCATGCAGCTGAGCCAGGAGGCCGCCAGTGTGGCAGACTGCTACCTAGAGATCAGCGAGAAGGTGGGGCCAGGGGTTGAGGGTGTGAAGTGAACGTGGTGGGGCCGACGGGGCGGGGCCGGGGCGTGTCAGCGTCTGAGGTGGGGGGCCGTCGGGTCAGGTGCCACTGGATGGTGCCGGGGATGGGACAAGCCGCCAGGCGTGTGGCCCACACACGAAGCCGGCATATGCATCTGCGCATATGCCAGATGCAAATGTGCATTGTTTGAGCGCGCACAAGCATCACATACAAACACACACACAGACACACACACACACACACACACACACACACACACACACACACACACACACACCGCATCAACAGGTGCGCAGCGAGCTGACCATCGACCCCTACTTTTTGAAGCTGGCTGATGCCATGGCCACCTGGATCCAATGCTGGGAGGCGCTCAACCCCACCCCGACCGCCACCCTGACCCCCGACCCCACCCCCGCACCTGCGGCCGGCGCCCCCGCCCCCGAGGTCGAGGCCGCGACGTGACGCGCGGCGCGGCGCGGCGGCGGGAACGGCAGCGGCGCCGTGTGTTCTGGGCGCGCAGGCCGGCGCCGCACGGGCCATGGGGTTGCTTCAGAAATTTGGTCATGATTCTTTACTGCGGGCTCGACAGGGGCCCGAAAGAGTTGACTTTGGCAGGGTTTTAGCGTGACACCCAAGGCTCCGCCTTCTCAGGGCCTTTCCCGAATTCAATTATTGTGATTGAGGGCCCAACAGCCTCACAAGCTCCAACATGTTGCTGTGACGACGCCCCAGCTTCAGCAGTTGCTGTGGCGGCAGTGCACGATAAAGCAGAGGGGAGAAGCCGCCCCCAAATGTCAGATTTGGGGCGCGCGAAGGTGTGATGCGCGGGCCATTTTTTATTACTTTTTGAATCGATTTGACACGTACCAGGCAGCCTTTGTATATTGCACAAAAACGGCGCAATGCCGCATTGAACTAGGCGGGATGCAGCACCGTTTGCGGTGCGGATGGTGTTGACTGTGCGTCTGCGGAGCCATTGCTGCCTACGCTCGCTCATCAAACGCCTCGTGCATGCTAGTTTGATTTCAGCCGCACCCGGCTGGGCGCCCCTTGGCGCCCCCCCCCCCCCCGCCCCCGAGGCCGCCGGCAGGAGAGCGGAGGTGCGTGACGCGAGGGCGGGGGACCTAGTTCGGCCGCGGGCCCACAATTCACCGCCCTGGAGTTTGTGAGACAGCGCGCGTACAGGCGGCCCCCTGGCTCCAGGGCATCGCAGCGCCGGGCTGCTTTTGGCTCCTGCCAGCTGGGGTTGGTGCTGGCCGGCGCACAGGAAAGAGAGCTGCTCTGGCCGCTGCCGAATGGCATACCCCATTTGGCTGCCTCTTATCCTGTTCTACACAGTAGCATGCACTTGTTCGCTCCTCCCTCAATCTGGGGGTTTCAGATCAAGTACTTGTATTGCCCGCTACACGTCAGCTCCCTCCTACCTGTGGGTTTGCCGCGGGTCTTTGAGAGGGGCAAGGGAGAGGCTAGGCGGGCCATCGCGCGGGGGCCGCGCTCGAGCCGATTTGTTTGCCGTGGCTGCGGCCTGGGTGTGCGCGGGCCGGCCTGCCTCGGGCAGCGCCGGCTGGACTCCGCTTACATGTGATGATTTTTGCGCCCCTCGCTGTGTAACTTGGATGCTCACGGGCTCATGTCGAGCGGCTTGGGGGGGCAGGTTTGAATCTGGACACTCTGCGGGGCTAGGTTTGAATGGTCTGTCGATTTTCCGGGTGGGGTTACATACGCAACACAACCTGCAGTGCACACAGCACACCCAAAAAAGCTGCCAGACAAAGCAGGGCGTGGTTCGTCAACCCGATCGGCCCACATACAGCACACACAGCGCCTGCCGAGAGTCCCCGCGTGTGCCGGCCCCAGCCGTCTAGCAAGGGCAACGGGAAGAATGGTTGGGCCGCAACACACACAGGCCTTCTGCGCAGAGGCTCCTGTGCAAGGCATGCCCCAGGTGTGTGTACTGCAAGCCATTGACATTGACATCCAGCTACAATTGGAACTGCAACCGCCCGCGCGTTGGTGGTATCGAGTTACTCGACGGCGCGCAGCAAGTCCCGCAGAGCCGCGTCGCGGCTGCTGCCCTTGTCCCCGCCCGGCCCCCCGGGGCGAGCCCGCAGCGCCAGGCTGCACGTCCCACCGCCGTCCTGCGCAGAGCCCGAGTCACCGCCGCCCAGTGCGGGCAGGCCCTCAAACGCGGCCACCATCAGTGCCTCCACAAAGGCGCTCCCAAACGCTTCTGCTAGGTCAGCCTCAGCTGCGGCATCCTGAGGGGTTGGGTTCGGGGACGGTGGTGGCGAAACTCTCAGGTGGGGCTTACTTGCAAACATCCTCACGCCTTCAGCTGACAGGATAATGGAGAGGGTGAGCACAAGAAGGGAATGATCCCCAGGCGTCACATGCAAGCAAACTTGTGTTGTCACCGTGGCTACCCTTGGGTGGCACGCATTCAACAGCCCCGCACCCTGGCAGCGGTCTCTCATCTCACCAGGTCCTGTCCAGTCAGCGCCTCCACCAGGATTGGTGACGTCACCGCCCCCACGCCCCCCGCGGCCAGCAGGCGCAGGACCGGCGCCGCGGCCGCAGAGCGGCGACCTGGGGGCAGCAAGAGCAGCAACTCAGCAGCCACCTCCTCCTCCTGCTGCTGCTGCTGCTGCTGCTGCTGCTGCTGCTGCTGCTGCTGCTGCTGCTGCTGCTGCTCAGCAATGGAAGAACCGCTACTGCCACCAGACGCAGCAACAAGCGCCCGCTCCTTAGCACCAGAAAGGAGCGGCGAGAGCAGTTTGACAGCTCCCGCCGCGTCGCCGGCCGCGGCCAGCACGGCGGCAGCTGCCGAGTAGATGCCGGCATCAGCTCCTGTGAGAACTGGCTGCAGGACGGCAACGCCTGCCGCTCGGGACGAGCGCGATGCAGCAGGAGCACCCCTGCGCTTGCCGCTGCCGCCTGGCGAGCCGCCACGCTGGGCAGCTGAGGGGCCCTGAGGCTGCTGCTGCTGCCCGCCCCGCAGCTCGCATGTGGTCAGCAGCCGCCGCGCAGCGGCCGCCGCGCCCACTGGAGCGCGGGGCGCCCACGGCACGAGGGCGCGCATGCCCTCTGCGGCCGCCTCTGAAGGCAGGGCGGCCACCTGACCCCCGGCTGACCACAGGCCGTCGCTGTCGAGCAGCAGTTTCTCAACCGCCCCCACTGCCGCCGCGGCCGCCTCACGTTCGTCGTGGTTGGCGCCATTGGCTGCGCTGCTGGTGAGCACGGCGAAGAATGCGGGCCATGCGATGGGGGCGCCGGGCACCCAGGTGGTGCCGGGGGGGCAAAGGGACTGGGCAAAGCGCAGGATGGCGGCAAAAGCTGCGGTTTGTGTGAAAAGGGAGCGAAGGGATTGGGGATGTTTGTGCAGGCTGTTGGCATAATGTTTGCAATGATTGCAACTCGAGGCGCTGCGCAGTGTTCAGCAGAGAGATATCATGGGCGAGCACATCGTATACACCATGAATCTGCCTCTTGTTGTCTCAAGGTGCCGATTGGCGGATGCACTGCAGCAACCCGCACTCAACAGCATCTGCACGCAAACCCCCACCTGCCGACCCGGTCGCCACCTCAGCCGGTGCATCGTGCGCGGCCGCCAGCGCCGCCTCCAGCAGGCCCCCCTCCAGCTCAGGCTGCCCTCCCGCCTGCCGGAACTCCTGGTACATCTGAACCGCCGCCTCCGACAGCCCCGCCGACGCGCACAGCAGCACCGCCAGCCGCCGCGCCGCCGCCTCGTCCTCCTGCCCGCAGCCGGAGGCAAACCGCAGCCAACGCCCCGGTGACGCCTTGGCTGCCTCGGCGCAGGCCACCGCGAGCCGCGTCCTCAAGTCGGCAGCAAGCTGCTCCACTGCCGCCCAGCCGGCTGCGAGGCGCGGCTGCGCCCGCGGATCCGTATCTGCGTCTGCTGCCGCCGTAACCGCCGCTACCGCGGCGCTTGCAGCAAGCCCATCCTTGCCTGGCACCAGTTGCGCTGCCAGCGCGGCCAGAAGTGCTCCGGCGAGCGGCGCGCCCTCAGGGGCGCCGCTGCCCCTGCTGCCACTGCTGCGCTCTGCCGCCTCGATCGCGGCGGCCGCGTCTGACAGCAGCTGCCCTTGAGCCAGAAGCCCCACCCATGAGCCGCCTGCGGAGCGGCCACTGCAAAGCGCGAGGACTTGCACCCAGGTGCCGGGCGGGAGCTGCCGGCCCGCCTGAGTAATCGCCTCTGCCAAGTCTGCAGCTTCCCCCAGCGCCGCCGCTGACCTGGTGCCCGCAAGAACACGCGAGCGCAGGTGCGATGCCAGCCCCGCATCGCTCAAGCTCAGCGCTGCTGCCGCCAAGCTGGTGCCCTCAGCTGCAGCCAGCAGACCCAGCACGCGCCCTGCCAGCGGGGCTAAGCCCACCGTCGCCGCTGCGTCGGCCGCCGCGCGCAGCACAGGGGCGGGCAAGCGCTGTGAGGGCAGCGCTTCCCAGATTGCAATCAGCTGGGCTAGCAGGCTGGTGCCTGCACTATCCCCTGCAGAATCTCCCGTGCCGCTGCCACCGGCCCGCTGCACCAGCTGCCACGCGGTCTCGTGCTTGCCTTCCGCCGCAAATGCCGCAAGCACGGCCCCCAAGCTGGCGGCGCCTACTGCGCAGAGGGGCAGGCCGCGGCCTTGGGTGCTGGTGACAAACTCGAATGCAGCAACCACGTCAGCGGCGTCGGTTGTGGTCTCCTCCACCACCAGCTCTAGCAGCGCCGCCGCCGCCGCACGAGCGCCGGCAGCGGCCGCCTGCGCCGCAGGCGCTCCTCCGCCGCGCGCCCGCGCCGCCTGTGAAGCCGGGGGCCAGCGTGCCGGTGCGCGCCAGATGCAGCAGGCCGAGGGCACACGGCGCGCGCAGCCCGGCGTCTGGCAGCAGTGCAGCGCAAGAAGCCAGGGCGCCCACAGCGCGGCCGCGGGACGTGGGCCCGAGTGCGCCGCGGCTCCATGCCACGCACAGCAGTACCGTGGCAACAGCGAGCCTGTCTGCAGCGCAGGCCCCGCAAATCAGCGCCTCCGCCAGCGGCTCGGCGGCGGTGGTATCATTGCACGTGCGGCGCAGCGCCAAGGCCAGCTGCGGCCCTGATATTGGCAATCGCATTAGGGCCTCAGCCACATCTTTGCTCAGTGCCGCGCCGAGCGATGCATACGTCGCTGCAATCTCCCTAACCATGTTGATTTGGCCACGCCGCCGCAGCTGCTGCTGCTGCTGCTCCTCCTGCTGCTGCTGCTCCTCCTGCTGCTGCTGCTGCTGCTCCTGCTGCTGCTGCTCCTGCTGCTGCTGCTGCTGCACCTGCTCCTGCTCCTGCTGCTGCACCTGCTCCTGCTGCTGCTGCTGCTGCTGCTGCTCAAGCCACTCCAAGAGCAGCTCGTTCAGGGTGGCCGTCGCCTGTGCCGCGGCTTCTGCATTTCTCCAGGCATGTACTGATACGCAGACTCTCTGCGCGCGAAACGCGCCCCCATCTTCCCTCGCGCGCCGCAGCACCGCCCCCACCGCCACTGGCGG